TATATATATATATATATATATTATATATATACTATATACTATATATATATATATATTATTATATATATATATATATATATATATATATATATATATCTTAAGGGACTATGTACGTTTTTTTAACTCACTGTACGAGGATATAGAGTGGTTTGACCTCAGTATACGATACGCAGAAGCACATACTCGGAGATCGCCCAGGCGAGGCCAAACCCATCGTATGTTGATGTTCCTCTGCCCAGCTCATCAATTATCACCAGTGAATCTTTGGTAGCCGACTGTGAGTACATGAGAAAGGAATACGAGCACACGAGTTAAGTATTGTGGGTGGGCAGTACATGTCACCAGCATATCTACACAGATGGTCAATGATCACTTGGACTTTCTTAGTAGCCGACGGAGCGTACATCGATACGAGAGAAGGGATTGTGAGATGACGAGTAGTGTTTTATATGTATGAGATTTCGGGTAGACATGTGCACAAGGCTAGAATACATTCCGACTGAAGACACGATGTCATACGACTGCAAAATCACAAGGCTGGACATGGTACAATACCCGTCAAACAAAACCTATAGACTAGATGTACAGAAATACGGGGCTGCGAAATCATGCGACCGATCACGCAAACATACACCACAACCAAGCTAGGAGCGTGAGTACAAAATGGTCCCAAAATGGTTCCTTAAACTAGATGTACAGAAATACGGGACTGTGAAATCATGCGACCGATCCCACAAAGGCAGTGTATTGTTGTTGAGTATCCTGTAGTTCAAAACTCAGAAACCCACAGACACAACTAAGTATACATGAGTACTAAACATGCACCGTGCAGGGTGTATTGTACTGTTATACCTTGAGGATGGATGCCGTCTCCAGCATCTCCGCCATGAATGTGGAGACGCCCTTCAATTGACTATCGCCCGCACCCACTCGTGCTAAGATCTGCTCAGACATACGAAGACAGTAGGAAAGCGGACCACAAGTAAACAACAAGGATCTGAGTGGTACGTTGTGCATTGTACGACTGTTTGACAACGGAGGAATGGTTCTCCTTCACAGTTTCTTGAATGTCACCCCCACAGCATATCTCTATCAGATGATACGAAAGCGTACCTATGACTTTTGCGCATTTCGGGTTCATACCCCACCTACGCTACTGTGGCAGAAGTTCGTGTGCCGTGCAATGAAGAGTGTGCTTTAGTCTGCTTTAAAACACATGGTGCTCCACTCAGAACATATAGCGACAAGCTACATACAATAATAAATGTGATACGTCTGAGCATAAGTTCTTGCCAGATTTACGATATATACGTACAAATGCGCACATTCATATGTAGGCATGTCGAGGTCGCTGTGTGCGGTTTGCGCCGATTGTGGGTTCATACACTGGCAGATGCACCAACTGTTACAAGAAATCTTTTGCACCGGCTGAGGATTGGATGATCTAATCTAGTGAAACTATTTCTGGTTTATATTACATAGGAGCAAACGCAACACAAAAATATTCTATTTGTAGACTATTTCTTCGGACATACCTTATCACAGACAGAGATTTCGGCGCTATCGCACGGTACAAAGCAGCCGATCTGAGCCATGAGTACCACAACTCCTACCTGACGAATGTAGGTAGATTTGCCTCCCATATTTGGACCGGTAATGATGGTGAACGACGACTCGCCTGCAAATTACAAAGAATTGAGCAGATATATATATATATATAGTATGTATATATATATATATATATATATATGTGTTGTGTGTGTGTGTGTGTGCGTGTGTGTACACACGCGCACACACGAAGGCACACACACAGACACATACAAAAAATACATTTCTAGCAGTGACCTTATATCTATAAAACCCAACAGAATACACAACAATGCTCATTTGGCTAAACAAAAGTCCAAATGTATTCATGTCACCAACATACGACGGTAAATCTGGGAACGACTTCAGACAAGCACACCTCAACATACCCTTGTTCAACTTGACATCATTGGAGATGAAGGACACATCATCCTGGATCTCTAGACACGGATGTCTCGTGCCGTTGAGTACTATCTTGCCTGTACCCAACTCGTGAATTACCGGTCGCACATATGGTACAGGGGCGTTGCTGCAGACCACAGCCAAGCTGTACAGAAGAGTAAGAGAAGAATGTGGTGATGGTCAGTACATAAACAAATGATAAATATGTAGATATGATATATATATATATATATATATATGTATATATGTATACATACACACACACACACACACACACACAATATATATATATATATATATATATATATATATATATATATATAGTATGTATATATATATATATATATATATTAGTATGATACTA